TGTATATATATATACATATATACATACATACATACATACATATATACATACATACATATATGTATATATATATACCCAAAAAGATGTTGGAGGTTGCACATAAGAGAGCACAGATGCCATTCTAATTTCACATTATGGCTTTTTTATGTTTCTCTTCTGTCCTTGTGTCCATAGTAGTAAATCATATATGGTATAACCTTCTTGGATCTTCCATTTATGGTTTATCTCTTGCTTTGCAATCAGCTGAAGGATTAGAATTTGGGAACAGTGTTTATTGGATATGCTTTGATGAAGAATATTCTTCCAAGGTTAGCTAGTTCTTCCTCTTTAGTTCCAATCCTTTATTGATTGCTTTTCTAATATTCAGTTATTCATTAAGTATATTATCTTTTAACAAGTGTTAGTAGTAACAATTGAACACTTTGACATGGCTCAGAAATTCAAACCATCTAGCCCATTTGGAGTCAAGTACAAGTTTCATTTAGAGGTAAGGAAAAGGCCAGGATTTTCTCTCTGCTCTACCCCACTTTCAGTAAATGCTTTGTTTATGGCTTTCTGCTACATTGTGCATCTGTAGTTGACAACCAAACCAAGCATCTAACTCTAAAGTCCTTTGACTGTGTTATAAGGCATTATGTTATCTTCTGTTATTATTATGCAATGACACCTTTGTTTAGAAGTGCTTCTATGAGTTCTGTTTCTCTGAAATTATAAACTTGGATTGAATTAGTATGACTTCTTTTGCAACTAATTGTTTTATGACTAATAGGTTTCATCTTTCAGTTAATTCTTTTGAGTCATTGGTGTATATAAAAGCACAACCAAATGTGGGCATATTACTCTAATTCAGTTAAACAATGCGATTAAGATGTATGGTCAAGCCATCTTAAAAAAATGTATGGTCAAGCCGTGCTATTAGTTATTTTCAGACTTTCTGTTCATTTGATGTTTCAGTTTGCAAGCTTTTGCCGCAAATTGCTTATGTACCTGACTGAATTAAGTGCCATGCAGGATGCTGTTGATTGTCCTGAGTGGATTGTTCCATTTCATGTCTTCAAGTGCCTAGCAGAAGAGGTACTGGTTGAAACTCCTTTCAGAACTTGGTTTTCTGTTGGATAATATACTCTGTTGAGTTTACTTAATGTATGTCATATGATCCAGTTAATTTGTTTTTGCAATTTGTTTCTGGTCGTGATTAAATTGGCAATGATTTCTATTTCTATGACTTCGATTATTTCGGAATAGGAGTCACTAGTGCATTTTGTTTAATGTTTGTTTGCATATGCCAAATTTACATCATTTATATACGTATTAAGTTGTCGGCATTTAACAAAAAGTAACCTGTGAACATGTGCTGTATATTTGACATATCTATTTTAATTTGGCCTGTGAACATGTACTGTATATTTGACATATCCTCATCCTGAAGTTACACCTACCACATGGGTCTTGTTAATTTAACCTGATGATACAGTAGTTGATTACTTCATTTTTGTTAGTTACATAAAATGACTCATCTATTTTGTAATTTGTTCTACATGGCACCTTTTGTTTATGTGTAACCAACCTAGACTTTCCGCAAGAAACATTCCCCCTTGTTTTATGTTGATGAATGAGCGAAGTGGGACCACGGTGGCAAGGACCAGCAAGCAGGTGAGATTATGGTTCCATTTGCATGCATGTCTGCACATTCAGTCCATAATTTTTCTTTCCATGTCTAAAGTACAATGTAAAATTACGTCTTTAAAATTCATTATTCAGCTATTTTTTGGTTCTCAACCGACGAGTGCTGACAATGTTTTGTTCAACCATGTTTATCTTGTTGTGTTAACATCTGGTTTTGGACATTCATGATCTTCTATGACACCACCTATAACAAACATAGTTTTGTACTTGGCAACTGATTCTCAAATTCTTTAGTTTCTTTTTATTGCACAGTATGATCTGGAGCTCATTTTTGTGAAAAACTCACATGAGTTTGTTAATGAGTTTTTAAAAAAGCCTGAGTTTGTTGACCTCATGCGAAGACTCGGTGCTCTAGGCGATGGAAATCAGGATCAAAGTAAGATCTTTTATTCTATGAACTTATTAGACCTCATGCTGTTGTCCCTTGCCTAAACATTGAAACATGCAGGCACATTATCTCAGGACGAGTGGGATGTGGCGTACCTCTACTTGGCGTTTGTGTTGAGAAAGGTAACCAACAATGTTTACTTTTGGTTCGCATTGGATCACATTATTAGGGTGATTCTTTTGCAGAGAGGTCAGCCAAGTTCAAGTCGGAGGAACAGCAACATCAATAAAGGGAAAATGCACATATCAGAGGATGACATCGAGTTCATCAGTAGCTGAGTTTTCTTTTGTTTTGGTTAAGACGGTGCTCCAGTCCGCGCTATCATACAAAGAGCGTTGGGGTCTACATGACAGTACTCATGGAGCTAACAAATAATAAAGCAAGCAGGATAAGATTTATACAAATGGGTTTGGCTAAAATCTGTTTCCTAGTGGAAGTTAGATAAATTGATGATGAAAATTTCTTTCTGGTGTACTAGCAGACTAATTACTTGTTTATTTTTTGTTACAAAGAAAAAGCTAGCATCTTACTTGTTCCAATGACTGATTGTACCAGAGTTTGCTAACAGTTGGATCTGTCTTCTTAAATTGCAGTAGCTCCTCAAGTAGATAGATCTTCACTTGTCTACTTGCAAAGGATGATCATGAAGCTCTTGTGAGTTAAGGAAATATATTTTGCTGGTATCCTTCCATTTTTCCTTCTTTGCAGCAAGCTCTTGTGATAGGACCGAACACAACCTACAATGATCACAAGGTCTGCATCTGGTCCTTTTTCATCTAATTTGATCAATCATTTTGATTGACAACCTGTCTAAGTGCCCCACATCAATTATGATCATGACTCTGTCAAAGAACAGAGTATATATTTCTACCCAATCGGTTAATGTGGTTGTTGACCACTCGCATGCTACTATTTTGTATTTTTGATCTTTCGTGACCAACTGTTTCTCAAAGAGAAGTAATCTTTGAGATTGTTTTGTGAGACTTATCTATCATAGAATAATGTTGCTAGGTCAAAAAGTAATTTCTCAAGATCCATTGGTGGATCACATCGTAGAAATTAGACATTTCGAGATGATGTAGACGTCTGTCTCTCAGGAACGGTATGCAAAGATTTCATTGCCGACCTTTTCTGTCCCAATCGTGTGGCTATTGAAATGTCTTCTCCTGATGATGAGTTGGAATCCACATGATCGATGCGATGCGATGCCATGCCATGCGAGCTCGAGGAAAACTTACTTGATTGAAACGCAAGTGGTCGAGGTTGCGACGCGCTCTCTGCAAGCAGTGCCCAGCTGTTGTTGCACATCGAGACGGATAGAACTCATCGGATGAGAGTTTAGTCTCCAAAACTTGAGCTTGCATCTTCTGCAGATGAAAATGACTGCATTGAGTTGCCTCTCTGTAGTTGTTGAGACTAACAGTTTGGAGTACTACCACCCATGCACAGCCCCTGTTGCAGCTTCTGCATCAACTGCTACGTGCATCGGAGGACCCATTCATTACACAGTGGTTCATGCGTGATGGATGGTGAGATGTGACAGCACGGTTAATAATAAGCTATTTGGTCATGGAGTAGTAACATACACACAGATTGATGGATAGGGTACAGCCAACGGATTCAGGAATCGTAAGCTAATCATCAGATACCTTTCTTTCATCTTATCTCAATTATGCAGACATCGACTTGTGACAAGAAGGAAATCCCGAATTCCCTTTCTTTCTGTCACAGTATAATCTTGTTTCTTTTTATCTGACATTTCCAAATGCTAAATCCAGTTGTATTCTCATGTCATTGACAGAGACACTTTGATCGCTTTCTCTCGTGACCTCGAATCTACTCGGATCGCTCACCGATAATCGCCGAAGGCCACCAGTCGTTCCACTGTCCTCTTCCACGACGTGAAGAACAACCCTGCTGATTCCCACTTTATATAAGGCCACCACTCCAAGATTCTAAGAGCCACCCGATCAGTAGTTTTGAGCTCCCTTGGCCATCCATGGCTCGATCGCTTCTACTCTTCTTCTTCGTTCTTGAGCTCTTTCTCGGTCAGGCAGCGGCTCGGCTGACGCCGGCGGAGACACCGTCCTCTAGCGTGAGTCCAGACGGAGGAGAGCCGGGGCTACTTTCGCCGGCGGCGCTTCGGCTCGCGCAGCACCACCGGACGTCGGATAAGTCGATCGCAGGAGCCGAAGTTATTCTCGGAGGGTTTGCTACTGTAGTCTTCGGTGCCATCTTCGCTTATATTCGGGTCACCAGGAAGAGAAGCTCCGATAACAAAGCCTGAGCTGCACATAACAATGATTTTTCGCATGTATATATATATACAGAGAGAGAGAGAGAGGGAACTTCTGCAGTGATCTGGTTGAGTAGATCTTCTTGTGTTCTTTCAATGGAAACTTTTAGAGAGAGAGAGAGAGATTCTGTTCATTATTGTATTATCATTTTCTTGAACTATGAAAGCATTGTGAGATGACCAGATCCTTTTTCTTATCAATCATTCCCAGATCTGAACCACGCAGTCTCTTGGTTTTAGCTCACCAGCTATATATGAGGGGTACATCTATGAGAGAAAGGCCACATCCTCCATGGTTGGCTGGGAAGAACAAGTGCACAGCATCTGTCTTTGTATGTGTCTGCAATTACTCAAACGATCGATGTCTACGTGCATTCTTCCTCATGAAAGCTGTTTCTTTGCACAGTGAACATCATACAGCTAAAACTGGACCCCCATCTTTGGAAACCTCACCATCTTTAATGATGGAAGACGTCATATTCTCATACCATTTCTCGTATTCTCTGTACATATTACAGAACACACATTAGAATTTACTCGCCATTGCATCCTACAAAGCACAGCATCCAAGACTAGTAGATGTATGATGATGATATATGTTCCCACCTCACTGTTACCCTCTGCCTATATTGTTTTCTTGGCGACACATATGTACGAGGAGGAACGACCTGCTGACGCGTCATGCAGTCATTGGATGACTAGTCACGTGGGAACCATTTCGGAGACTTGAAAGTCAACCCCGGGGATGAGCTTCTCGTGGTTCATGCCGTGTCTTAAGGTCGCATTCACGTAGGTGCGGTTTCCAGGAAGACGACATGCATGGCCTCCTTTAGCTCCTCGTGATCCAGCCAAACCAGCCATGCACCCGCCTTCCAAAAGCTTACGTCTTGCTCACGGTGCCTTATTTAGCCGGCAACCATGGCAGCTTCCTTCCCTGTAGAAAGCAAGAACATGGCTGATCATGAGGATCCAGATAGCTTCCAGGACTTCCTTCCGACGATGGCGGCGCGGCTGGGGACGGAGGGGCTGATCGAGGAACTGTGCAAGGGGTTCCGGCTGCTGATGGATCCAGCGAAGCGGGTGATCACCGTCGAGAGCCTGAAGAGGAACTCGGCGGCGATGGGGGTGGCGGGGCTCGGCGACGAGGACCTTGTGGAGATGGTGAGGAAGGGGGACCTGAACGGGGACGGAGCCTTGGACCAGATGGAGTTCTGCGTGCTCATGTTCAGGTTGAGCCCCGAGCTCATGGAAGGCCGTGAGGGAAGCTCTCGAGACGTTCAAGTCCCTTGATGAGCCCAGTGCTTAACGCTTCTCCTCCTAGTCGAGGAGCTCAGTGAGTGTAATTTATATGTGTGTGCTCATAATCTCTCATCAGACTCAATGTTTTATGAAAAGGAACAGAAAATTAATAATTAGATAATAAAATACGTGTTTTTGAATATTGAATTCTTTATGTTCGATTTTGCAATGCTGTCTTGCGATCAGCAAATCTAAAATTTCAAATGAGATGGGAGTTTTATGTTCCCAATGAATCCGTAAGAATCTCGAACGTCTGTGTTTGTTGTGATTTCTGTTTTAGAAAGATCACACTATCTTATCCTATACATCTCATCAAATCTAACTGGAGAATCTCTATATATACACTACGAATTCATGTGTCTTTGACATCAAGCTTCCTCCCCCTCTCCTCTCTCCTCCTCCTTCCCACCTTGTTAGTGCCAACAGAAACCTCTGGTTTCGAAACAATGGCGGGCGGTGCAGTGATGGCGCCTGGTGCGTCGAAGGCTTACCCCGGGAAGATGACTCTCTACGTCTTCGTCACCTGCCTCGTGGCCTCCTCTGGTGGCCTCATCTTTGGTTACGATATTGGAATCTCCGGTAACATCTCGTTCATCCCTCGATGTATTGACTCTGCATCGCTTCCAATCTAGCGTAACGACTTGCATCTTCTTCTTCTTCTTCTTCTTCTTCTTCTTCTTCGTCGAGGACAGGGGGGATCACGTCGATGGATACGTTCCTGCAGAAATTCTTCCCCAAGGTGTACTATAAGGAGAAGCATACACTGAGCAGGAACCAGTACTGCGAGTTCGACAGCCAGCTCCTGACGACCTTCACGTCTTCGCTCTACCTGGCCGCGTTGGTCGCCTCCTTCTTCGCCTCCGCCGTAACGAGGGCCTTCGGAAGAAGGATCTCCATGTTGGGCGGAGGAATCATCTTCCTTGGTGGCGCCGCAATCAATGGCGGCGCTAAGGACGTGGCTATGCTTATCATAGGTCGCATCCTTCTTGGTATTGGCGTTGGATTCGCCAGCCAGGTATGCTTTCTTGATCGATCAAACTAATAATGAATCTGTTCTGCTCTGATCTTGCTACTACTTGGTGGAACAGTCCGTTCCGCTCTACCTCTCGGAGATGGCTCCGGCAAAGCTCCGCGGCATGCTCAACATTGCCTTCCAGCTTATGATCACCATTGGCATCTTCATCGCCAACGTGGTGAACTATGCCACCAACAAGATCGAGGGCGGGTGGGGTTGGCGCCTCGGCCTGGGTCTTGCCGCCGTACCAGCCATCATCATCACCGTCGGCTCCCTCTTCCTCCCCGATACCCCCAACTCGCTGATCGAGCGTGGCCACAACGAGCAAGCCATGTCCATGCTTCGAAAGATCCGTGGAACCGATGACATCAAAGCCGAGTACGACGACCTCGTCGCGGCCAGCGAAGACTCCCAACTCGTCAAGCATCCATGGAGCACCCTGTTGCAGAGAAAATACAGGCCGCAGCTGTGCATGTCCTTATTAATCCCCACCTTCCAGCAGCTCACTGGCATCAACGTCGTCATGTTCTACGCTCCCGTCTTGTTCAAGACCCTCGGTTTCGGCGACGACGCCTCCTTGATGTCCGCCGTCATCACGGGATTGGTCAACGTCGTTGCCACTTTCGTTTCGATCATCACCGTTGACAAAGTTGGCCGCCGTGCTCTCTTTCTCCAGGGTGGTGTTCAGATGGTTATCTCTCAGGTAAAGCAACCTTGTTTTCGAGCTACCTGTGATCAGCCTTGTGATACTTACATGGCGGTGTTGTGGATCAGATCCTTGTGGGCACTTTGATCGGGATCAAGTTCGGCGCAAACGGGCAGGGAGAGATAACGAAGACGTACGCCGTCTTGGTGGTTGTCTGCATCTGCGTCTTCGTCACAGCCTTCGCCTGGTCTTGGGGTCCCCTGGGATGGCTGGTGCCCAGCGAGATCTTCCCGCTGGAGATCAGATCAGCCGCGCAAAGTATCAATGTGTCGGTGAACATGTTGTTCACCTTCGTGGTGGCCCAGATCTTCCTGCCATTGCTCTGCCACCTCAAGTTTGGGCTCTTCTACTTCTTTGCTGCATGGGAGGTGGCCATGACCATCTTCATCGCCTTGTTCCTTCCCGAGACCAAGAACATGCCGATCGAAGAGATGAGTCTGGTGTGGAAGGAGCATTGGTTCTGGTCCAGATTCGTCAACAATGATACCGACATGGAGGCGGCACGAAGAAACCGAGGGTAATCCATCCATCAATCCATCCAGCCATGTTCGCATCAGTCTTTGCTTTTGAGTCAACAGCGTTCTTAGGGTTTGCAGTCCGGTTTAGTTAAGTCATCGTCCGCCGAAATAACTTGTATCTAGTGGAGATTTGCTTTCGTTCAATAATCTTATAAACTTGATGACAATGTTTTCGTGTTTTGGCAAATTTCCTATTTGACCTTTTCTTAGATACGGTATCATCTTTACTCACGCATGTCTTTCAAAGTGAATTCGATTATAGTCGAGCACTCATCTCCAAATTCTACCATTATAGACCAAACAATAGTTATAACTCCCATCAGGCACTTAACGCCAAAGTCGAAAATTTTCAAAATATTACACTCATTTAACGCCAAAGTCGAAAAGTTTGTTAAAGCCCAAAACACCATATGATAATGAAATCCATCACTTCCCATGGTTCATCTCCAAGCCGCATCCTCATGCTGCATGCATGCTTCTTGTTGAAAAGAAGCCTCATTTGGCACCACCGTGCTTTGCTTTTGTATGAGCTTGGAGACCATTGTCAGAGTTGAATTTCCTAGAGCGAATTATTGGAATTATATGCTTGGTCATATCTGTCAAGTAGATCCTGGAGGAATGTTAGAAGAATTAGAAACATACTTGCCACATGACTTGCAATTGATTGAGCCGGCGGATTTAGGAGTCTGCTGTTTGGACTTGTCATTGGTAGCAGGTGTTTTTCCGCTTCGTTTTGCAGGGTTAGGGGTAGCGGGTTGGCCATCGTTCTTACCGGCACCACCTGCGAGCTCATTTTTGGTTACGTACAAGATAGAACGATAGAACGATAAGATATAGCGAATGAGCCAAGTTTTACCTTTTTTCTGACTCCCTCCTGATCCTTGAGACACTCTTAACTTTGCTTTCTTTTCTGAAACAGGAGTTTTTAAGGCAGAACCAGCTGGTCTTTTATTAGAAGGCTCAGCCTGTAGATCAGGCAATGAAGATTTCATTTTTTCCATGGTTACAAGAATTCCAGTAGGCAAAGAATATGTTTCACCCAAATTACTGAAAAATAAATTTGCAAAAGATTTTTTTACCTTTTTAACGGTAGCTTCATCCTCATCAGAGCTTTCATCCTCATCTTCACTATCGTCTTCAGCATCAGCTTTGGCCGTATCCTGAAAAAAGAAGTATCAAGCAAACAGTACAAAAAATACTTATCAACAGCCCTAAAATAAAATATTTTTCTTCACTTGAAATTTGCCAACAAAATGCAAAGTACCTACAGTAGTAAGACACCAAACAAACAGAACAGGCAGAACAAATAAATCTCCTCTAACATACTGGGTCAAACAAGCTTATCAAAGAAGATTATAATGTTTTGACAGTCGATGCACAGACCTCATCATCATCGGATTCATCTTCCTCGGACTCTTCATCATCTTCATCATCCTCCTTATTTGCCTTTTGCTTATCGGCCTTCTTCAGTTCGGCTACTTTAGGCTTTACCTTGGCAGAAGCGACATTTGGCTTTCCTGCTGTGGACTTGGGTTGCTCATCCTTTACATTAGTCTTGCCTGAAAATTTAAAAAGAAACACCATCAAAACCATTGAGATATGGAACACAAACGAAATTAATATAAAAGAACTTAAGAAGCAAACTCAAAATCACACCATTTACAATATGCTCAAGTTGAATATCTTCATCAGCATCTGAGTCACTCTCTAGAAGTCAAACAGAGTAGCAAATGCTTTTGTTAGGAGACATAGAATGGTGAAAAATACAACTGAGATTAGCATAACAAGTCGTTACCATCAAAATCAGGAAATGTGGGCCAACAATCAAAATCCAAGTCAAGGAAATCAATAGCAGCAAGAATATGTTTACAAAGTGCAAGACATATGAGCATTGGACTGAAGTAGTAGGTATATTAGCTTCCCAAGGGAAAATAAAAAAGGATATTCATCTCCCCCCAATGCAACAGTTCTGTAGCCGCATAAGTAGACACTTGCATTCTTTGAGTTGTGAGATATCTCAAATTCTTTCTCAAATACCAAATCATATTGAATTTGAGCACATTTGTCTGCAGAGAGTGTTCCAAGTACTAACTTTTGGTTGTTAAACTTCACATAGATCAATATGTTCTCATTTCCCTTGTCCTTCTTCGTCTCACCTAACGAAGCCTGCATAATAGTAGATAATACTTAGCAGTATCGCTTAATAGTACTGATAACTATACACCAATATGTGGCCATGGAAAAACCTGAGAAAGATGCAGATATTTATCCTCTCCAGGATCAACCTTGACAGTCTCTTCAGGCTTAATCTCCACACCTGAAAATTTGCAGCAAAATTAGATGAATGAAAACAATGCTACAGGTAGAAACATCGAGAAAATATAAGGTAGGATCTTTTTTAAAGGGGGGAACTTATAACAACTTAATAGCCAAGGCAGCATACAAGTCACAACTCACCAATGTTAGACTAAGAACAAAAAATTGCACAAAATGATATACACGATTAATAATGGAAATGGAACGAGAACGTTGGCTGAATTGAAAAAAAAGCTAGGACTTGAAGAGAATATCATAAAAAACCAAAGGGGATTCAGAGAACAATAATCATTCAAGTTCTAGCCAAGAAACTTTTAGCTGAGTTTATTCCTTTTTTGTTTTCCACCGCTGCTAAAGGTGGTGGCAACACTCAGAATATTTATGGTATAAAAATAAAACAATTATGAACCTATCATGACATCAAGAAAGTTTACAAAAAGTAGGTTCCGCATTGGTTTCACCAGTACATTCGCAGTGCACTATCCAGCCAGATGTAACTAGTTGCTGCCAAGTGCTTGTGACTGCTTATCGCAATTAGAACGCCAACTTTTTTTATTAAACAAACGAAAAAAAGAGAGGAAGAAACACCTTATAATCCCCCATCACGAAACTAAAGATAAGAACCTCCCTCATTTTCCCTCCAGTATCCAAGGGACACTACCATTTCATTAGGTATATACAAAACAAAAATGTGACTGTAAACTATCTTTTGTAACCAATTTACAATAACCCACTGCAAGACTAAACTGCACGAGATACATAAACGTCGACCATGTAACGGATCCTATCACATTACTATTGATCATCACTGAGAATGTTCCCGGAAAAAAGCTATATTCTTGAGCGGATTCATCAGAAATGCTTTATGATGTATCTTTGATGCATATAGCTTTCCCGTGCGGACCTCTTTCTGCGTTCATTCGAAGCATCACATAATTCGTCGAAGTCCACCGCCAAGAGTGACATGCAGAAAATACGGACCTCGAGTATGAACGAGAGACTATTTCACAGTATCAAGATGCGAAAATCTGGAAGAATAGTTCATGGTGCTTCAGAATAGGTGGTGAAAGCAACTATCTGGGACGCAGTGCCACAAAACAAGATACAAAAAACAGAGAAATGAACACAACATGATGAATAAGAACCCAAAAACCCAAGATGCTCGCAGATAATCTCATGAACTACAAGGTCATCAACGGTTACGAGGCAAAATGAGCGGTCGGAGGGCAGATATCCAAATCCATAGTCGAACAGATGGACCAAATCGAGAGAGAAGGGAGACGGATACAACAAGAAGGAAGGGAAGTCGAGGCAGATTACCCCAGAACTCCATGGCGATGGGAAACGGGGATGCCGGGAAGAGAGGGGCGCGCGAAGCAACTGCCGAGTGGAGTGACGATTTAGGGTTTTGCGGGATCCACGAGTCATTTTAAAGCCGAGGAGAAGACCCATCGAAGCTTTCGGGCGCACATCTCTGCCGTTGATTGCAGGATCACGGAGGGCGTGGGCGAGGGCGTGTGTGAGAATGACTCACCACCGTTTGACCCGGCACGCTTAAATCACATGTACGTCCCCTAAATGGCAATCATTTTCATATTTATTCCTTTAATTTTATATACCAAAAAAAGAGTGAGATAAGCTCTTAAGAAAACACATGTGGGTTCAAAAATGCAGAGGGCTTATCTGTTAAATACTGCCGATTCCACGGATTAATTGCAGAGAAGTCCTTCGCATTACCATTTTGTTACCTTTTCCCCCATCGATTTCCGTTGCGACAAGTCGTCGTCAATCGTCGCGCATTTCCTCCGCTTCTCCTATGGAGTCTTGGCGGGGAGGGCCGGGGTTGCGCCGGATCTCCCCGAATCCTAGCGATCGGCGGTGCTTCCTGCCGTTCCCTCGACATGGAGGGTTTGGCGGACGATCACCGAGGCGTGGGCGATGGATCTCGACGCTAGCATCGGCCGGCTCCTCCTCGACTCCACCGAATATCTCCGTCTCGTTGCAACCCTCCCGTCCGGCGCCGTCAAGGAGGACGCGACCTCGATTGATGTTGTGAGCCACTTGGATCATTACCTCCGGGAGGATCTGGAAATGCCCCTGGAGCGACTGGCGGGTAAGCATATTTTTCGTGGTTGGCGCGTTCCCCCTGATTCTTGAATCGAGCTCTCTTGTTCGGGTTTGTGTTGTTGAAATCCTGAATGATCGTCTGCTTAGATTGTCCATTCATCTACCTTTGAAGGAAGGAATGCCATTCGGATTGCACCACCGCAGTGGGTATAAAGATGCTTGTTAGATCAAATACGAGGTAAATAAGTAGAATGGATTTTTGTATGCACTTGAATTCATTTGGAACCTCAGGGTATAAATCAGTATGGAATGTTTGGTTTAAGAATACATATCATGAGAAAAATTAAGTTATTCCTAGATGGTAATTCCCTAACTATCAAGAACAAACAATACATATTTTTTTCCTTCTGACAGGATAAGTAAGCGAATAGATTAATGCAATGACTACTACTTCGATTGTAGTAGACAATGCTGTTGGTTAAACCCCTGGACTGGCTAAGTATATCCATTAGATTGGTTGGATTAAGTAGTATAAGATAAGGTTGTTTGACAAGTTATTAGAGGAAAGGTATTTGTTCAATCATTTGTTATCCTATTAAATGGCTCCTTAAGAATATAATCGGAAGGAAAACATATATGCTACTAGTGTACGATGAGTAATACTTGTTTGACAAACACTGCAAAAAACTTTAGAAAGAAAAAACAGGATGATATGCGTTGGTTGAAGGGATAAATTTGGCAGTGAAGAAAGGATGAACTCAAGCAGGGCCGTGCCAAGGTGATGATGTATCAAAAACCATACTATTTGTTTTATGTATGAGTATGTTTAATTTGACCCAGTTATAACCCTCATCTACAAGTGATGCATGCATATAATCAGGATTTTGAAAAGAAAAGAAGATCTTAAAGCATACAATAAGAAAGAAGATCTTCTTTTAACTAAAACTAGATATTATTTTGTGCAGCCTTTTCTATGGCATCATAGATTTAAGCATGATCAATATCTTTTTCCTTTTTATCTTTGGAAGTGCTTTATGTGATTTCCCTTTTTGAAGTTCTAATTTTTGTCAGAAAAACAATATGTTGATGCCGCTGACTCGTGGCAGATTACCACTAAGCTTTAGTTTTTTCCCCCCTGTAAGTCTTCATTCTGAAAGTCGTTTGGCATGGTATACATTTTACTCGTCTGTGAATCCTTCTTGCAAGAGCAATGATTGGGCACTGTCTAAAGTCAATTTAACTGTTGCTGTAGTACAGTATTATCTCCTGTCTTATATCGTATATTCAATCATGGAATGGCTAATAATGTTCCAGAGTAGGCTTTAATTTTTATTTTATGCACTGTGTTGCATATGCTTATAACTTGATCATTTGGGTATGCTACCTGTTTTCAGATGGATGCAAAAATTAGATACTGGGGTTGGACTCAATAGTGGCCTTTACACCATGCAGCCATTATTTTCCCCAGTTGTTAATTACAACACAGAGTTTCCGCAGCTTGAATCAGGTCACAAAGCTCAAATTCCTGTGGACCTCCAAACTTGGTCTATACTCTCACGTACATGGACTTTAGCTATTGCCTTCAGCACCTACTGCAGTCAACTATGGCCCTTTGGAAGTTCATGATCACTCCACATCAGTCTATGTGTACTCATCTTGATATTCGGTGCCTCCATATCCTGGAATGTCTTTCCCTCATCCTAATTTACACATTCAAACTTCTGTGCAGGTTTTCTTCCTCTTTCTTTTGTCTTCTTTTTCTTTTTTCGTTAATTCAATGTGGTATTTGCTCTCTCTTCATCTATATCAATATCTATATATGTGCACACCGTATACTGCAAGGGCATGTGCTTGCCACATAAGTTGTGAACTACTCTTGTTTCTAATACCATTAATGGACTGTCATGATGATATGTCAGGATAAATCTTCAACACATTTTTAGAAATGATATGTTAGAAGAATTCTCCTATGATGTCTTGAATGAAAAGAGCTAGATTTCATCAATGGTGAACGCTTTACATTCCGTAAGAATGAAAGGAAATAAAATCAAGATTTTGATCACCATCTGATTTTTCATTTTATTGTTTCCCTGTAGCATGAACAAAAAGTTTAAACTTGATGGTGAGGATTTCATTTTTCCATGTTTGTTTTGCACTGAATTGCGGAACTAAAAATACAAAGCAGCAACTGGAACTCCACAAAGTTGCTCTCTCATTATTGGTTTCAAACTTGCAGAAAATCGGAAAGTTCCCCCTCGAATGTAGAGGTCGCTGGGACATATGCTTGAACCCAATTGCTGAATTTAGACTTGCGGTAAGTCATTGTTTTTGGTGGCTTTAGGTCTTATTGGTCCCTTCTATCTATATTTGATGATCCTCTCAACTCATTTGCAGCATCCCAACGCAAGGTTTGAATTGGACTTGCCTGCACCCGTCGTTAGGAGCTCCGAGCTCGATAATACGTTGCCACAATTCCTAGAATCAAAGGCTTCCTGGCTAGACCATCAGGCGAATGGGAAAGAGGTGGTGAATGTCATGGTTCAAACTTAGTAGTTCCTTTCTTTCTCAGTTTTGTTGATCATATTCTTGATCTTTGCACTGCCTGAAGGATCTTGCTTACGATATTCTGTTCCTTTTAGCCGATGACTTTGTCTGTACATATTATCGAACAGTTTTGCTTTCTCTTATGGTTTTAAGGTTCTTGATGCTGGTCACAAGCCCAAATGGTGAAATAATCACGAGAGAACAAAAGCAGCAGAGGAGCCACCAGGTTGTTCCTTCCAGCTAGATTTTGATAACACTGAATCCTAACATCCCTTTTGAAAAAAGAGTCAGTTGTAGAGCATCTTCTTCGCAGGCATACCGAAGACAGAAAGAGGAAGAGATGTTGACGGTGTCGGAATCGTCATCAGCTTGGAATAAAGTGGCATGACCTTCAGAGCACTTCATTCTTTATCAAGCTACCTCTTCGTGCGCTCCAAGGTAATCCAGACATGAATAAAATCGAGAAACATGGAATAAATGGGTTAGAATAAGGAATTTAGACATGCAAATGATATGGATATTAGTTCAAACACGACTTCTGATATTACAGTGGTTAAAGATCTCAAGAAAAACAACTCTTCTCCACACAAAGCATTGCACAACCCAACTCAGCTTTTGTCTGTAGTTACAGGAAGAGAGGCAACGACTGCTAGTAAACAAGAATGGCAGCTGAGAAAGCAGTTGCAGTAAGCATGACGGGAAAGGGGATGCTGTGGCTGCTTGCAGCATTGTGTCGATGGTTGTGACCCCCGCCGTCGTTCCTTGGGTGGCCTGCTGCTGCAGCTCCAAGAATCGGAATCACTGCTCCGGTACCTGAATCAGCTGCGGTACCTGAATCGCCACCTCCGTGCCCTTGGCCACCGCTGCTGCCACCACCGTGCCCTTGGCCACCGCTGCTGCCACCACCACGACGGGATAATCTGCTTCCTCTGCCACCACCTCCTGTCTCTGCCGCTGCCGCTGCCGCTGCAAAGTTTCAAGGTATTGTAATCCTTCATGGTACCCGAATAAAGCTCTTAACAATCCTGAATTCTCATCTAAATTAAATCTTATAGCCAAATGTTTGCCACATCTTCCTATGAGAACATCCACAACACATTTGCAATCATCGACTCCACAAGCCCCAAGAAGAATGTAGAGGCAAGAAACAACCAAAGAAAGCCTATGCGTCAAGCAAACTACCGAAGTCGATGGGTTCGCCGGACTGCAGCTGGCAGACAAAATAGGTGACGAGGAGGAAGAGAAGTCGAGGCTTCATCTTTTCCATTGCTGCCACTGTGAAGATCTTTCACTGTTCTTCTTTAGACAGGAGATGATGATAATAACATAAAGAAATGGACGCCGCCACCGCCTCTCTACACCCAGAAACCACGATTCCCACGCCACTTCGTCCAGGCTTTGTACCTTCCACACGTCGTAAAGGTGATGCCTTTTCCTCTGTGATTGAGAGAGAGAGGATGAACGATTGAGGTCATGAGTGGATTGGTGTACGATAGAGAAAATTCTTGCTCAACTTATTGTATCAAACCGTGGATTCATTGCGTGTTGATTAAAGTTCATCCTCCCAGCTGCTCAGCCACCTCAACCCAGAGGCATCCTTCGGATCTTTGTTTATTTGTCTTCTGTTTTTTTATCTTGACGCTGATGAATTTAAAACCTTTTTTTCTTCGATTAATACTACAAAATCCACATTGTATTAATTTCTATTAGTCAGTAATTGGGTGATTCCCCTAAAAAAAAATCTACATTTTAATTTTTTAATTGATAATCTCTTTTATATTTTTTTAAACAGTGTCTCTAATTTGAAAGATATCCTTATTGTTTCTTATGAATATTTTCATCCGTTATAATATTCTTAACTTATTATATTTTTGGATTGTCGCAATAAAAACACTATAAAATCTATTTAAAAATATGATAAATCAAAACACAATGAATAAAATCAAAACATAGTGAAAACTGTATGATATGATTTGAAGTATTTATAATAGTTTAAGAATAACATCACTCAAATACAAAAAAAAAAATTAACTTGTTCACAATGAAAATACTATAAAATCTATTCAAAAACATTGTAAATGATCCAAATGAACTCCTAACTTCAATCAAACCAATCTCAAGCCAAAAAATAATCAAATCAAAGAGGCATAATATTACAAACGAGCAATCATAATCAAAGAGGTATAATATGACGTCACTTATAGGGGTTTATCAATAGCATTTTAATATTTTTAGCATCTCAATAAAAAAATATAAACACTATAAAAAATATTACAAATGAGCCAAATAAAAAAAATACTATAATAGTTTAAAATTGATAATTAAAAATAATTGAGATAATTTGATAAGAAAAATTTCAAGAAATATTTTTAATATTATTAAAATTAAAATACTATTTAAGAAAATACAAAAAAAATATTATTAAAATTATTTTCTAGGAAAATCGCCCTTACTAATTCATCCTTTGCAACTAATAATTTCGAAGGCTGTGTTATATGGCTGGGCAAAATTTGCATCTTTATAATATCATTGTACTTGTATTCGGATATACCTGTGTAGTCGCTGGTAGAGCATCACATGCATAGTAAAAAAATAAAGCAAAATTTGATTTTTCAAAAATATATTTATATCGAATCGCGTACGATGATTGAGAGTGAAAAACTTGTGAAACCAGAAACTATATAAGATTTGACGCTCTCACCTATGGAAGATCGTATATCTCCAAAACTATAGATCCAAGTCCATGGATGAAGGAGCTCCCGCAAGCTCCTCTCTAACGGTGATCCACATGATGAATGAAGCAATGACACACTTCCTCGCGTAAGGCATTTTTTCCTCGCTTTTGCGTACCACTACGCAGACATGGGCAGTAGCAAAGGGGCGACTCTCCTGTTGTCCTCTCATGCTAGAGAGGGGATAGATCGTTAGAGGAAGAAGGGGGAGGTTAGGGAGCTGGTGGCTAAAATGGTTCAGCCTTGTAACCCTTTTAGTCCCATAACCCTTTTATAGAGAGCACTTTTTGTTAACCCTAATGGATCCTGCCCTGTTGGGCATTAGATCTCTATCCAATTATCCCTAACATAATGGAAATTGGATCTCTATTCAATTATCTACTCTAAGCTCTTATTGGGTCTCACCCAATGAATCTAATAAAACAGGAGCTTATTGGATATCACATATTCAATCTTTTATTCGTCACGTCATCCAATCATGCACCATATGTGTATGACCCTCTAGGCCTAATATCATGCTAGCCATGAGTCATTCATGTCAGAATTTCTTTTGGCTCAGTGAATTATTATCTTCATAATAATATACTTAACTTATCGACTGCGAACGTACTAGGATACTACACCATAATCCCCAGACGATATAGGGGAATCCAATCATTTGGACCTATACATCCTCAGTTACTATGTACCTTTAGTCCCTCATCGATCTAATATCCTAGAAATCGTATACTGGGCATGGTGTTGTCAGGCTCATACGGTTTCTACTCGAGTCTCACTTTAATCAGATTCTCTTAGAGAACTTTTTCTCTCCCAATCCGAATGACCTTGGTCAATGATTTGTTTGAGCAAGAACACCGAATATTCCTCTCATGATATTGAGAGTAGATGATCCTCTATCGACATTCAATAGTACTCGAAAGGTTAGCTACAACTCCCGATGATCGGCTATGCTAAATCTATAACTTTCAAACCTATAAATTTGGCATCAAAGAGTGGAGTACTCAAGTAGAACATCCTTGGTATCTCAAGTCTAAAGACCAGGTATACCATTGTGATGATAAAATTATTGTTTGACAATGAGGTATCATCAACCATCCAACGTTCCATGAGCGGATCAATCAGTGAACTCATTCTCCAATGAGCATCTGCACTATAGCCCTAGTGTCTCCACACGAGCAGCTATGAGACCAGTCGCCTCTATCATATGGACGAGTATACAACACACTAGTTTGTCCGATTATCTGGATGTCATTCTCGAGTGACATTTGACTAGAATTATTTGGGGTTTATGTTTAAAGGTGAATCGGTCTCATTATCGTGATCTCATCACAATCTGATTCTCATTGCACAGATCCGTGGACATCACAATATTTAATCGGTGGACGCTCTTGCAACATTCGGTCTTTCTTTTAGCGTAAAAAAAATTATGTACCTTTATGCCTTATCCTCGGAGTTGGTACGACTTGGTCTAATCCAAAAAACGTAAGATTATCTAAGTGGTTCCTCGAGGGGAAGACGGATGGGGGAGCAAGGTTGGGCTAGGGAGGTCGGCTTCGAGGTGCTGACCACGCCTTCAAGGACGTCTCGAGGTGAAGTCAAGTTGCACTCGATCTACGTTGGAGGCCTACATAATAGGTTGGCGTCAGGAGGGGATTCCCATCTCGACCACTCTAATGGCTAAGTTAGTAAGTGAAGATATGTTAAAAATCGATCCCCTTTCTCAGGATAGAGAATCGATATTTATCGCCAGTATCTCTTATGATGTGGTTGCACGAGCGATCGACCCATATACCCCTTGCATTGCTGATCGGCCCATCTGGTTCTTGTGATGCGGCACCGACTCGTATAATTTGTGCGACGTGAAACCGGGAAGAAGGGCGTCACCTATCACGTCGGTTTCCTTCCGTGTTAGCTATATGTCTAAGTTGTGTTTCACGTCCCCTCAACGGTGGCTGTCAATTGGTAACCCGTGATTGGTACAAAAATATTTCCGATCACAGCTCCACCGGGATCGATCTACATCAACATGGACATGGCTGGGAGTGCCGAGCACGCTTAACCTCGCCACCATCTCCATAGGAAAGAGACAAAGGCAGAGCAGGTCATGGCGTGTGTGCGTCAAGCAGATCCATCCATCTCTGGGCTGCCGCGTTAACGTCCCATCATGCGATGTGACTGATTAATGTCCGCCTCAACCAAAACCCAACCATCGTCGATCGCGCGTTGACATGCCATGCCATGCCATGCCAGCGAGAAGAAGAAGAAGGCAGCGTTGAAGCGATCAACACACGCGGTTGTCGAAAACCAAGCGCGATGGAGCATCCACTCCCTCTCCTCTTTCCCCCTCCAATCAACCCGACGCTTTATGCTCTTTTCTTATACTTCGCTCATGCGTGACTTTATCCATCACTCACCAAAACCAAACCTATGCATCATTAAAGGTTGACTGTTCTCGATCTAAAATCCGAGCTTTATAGATTAATTTGGTGCGGAACAGGATGTGTTTCATCATCAAATCAAGGAGACTATGTTAAGAAACAACATTTCCTTCCTACCAAATAATTATTTCCTTCTATGCATCCATGCACAAAATTTACATGCCTCGACGTGCATGCAATCATAAAGAATAATATAAAAATAATAATAAATATAAGATTTATATGATTCGAGAAAATTAATTTCTTTTTCTCTTGAGTTGACATTTTTTTATTCTCTCATCCTCTCGATATCGTCTTTTTAAAATATTTTTCTCATGTCACAGATCATATTTGACTATTGTTTTAAAGAAGTAGAATTTTCTTTTGTTGAATTCGACAGCCGGTCCAAAGTACTCAAGAAATGAGACACAACTACAAATTCTTGTACAAGTTAAACAAAGGATAGTGTCAAAGATCCCATAAAAGACACATCGGACATAAAATCATTCCAGTACTTCAGACAATAGATTCTTCAAGGTAAAGGTTGACTTGCCATGCCAGTGTTGAACACGTAATAGACACAGAATCGTACTAGATTTGTTTACAGGAAATTGAGGAGGAATTTTGACCCAGTCATTGCTCTCTATCACCCTTAGTTTCCACAAAGCCCCACCATGCTATCTGACTTCCACAGCAGCTGCCCCACCACCACTACTCTTTTTACTGTCCTGCATCCAAATCCTCCTATATATATGGATTACGCCATCCCCAATGGAAAGCACCTGCAGAGCAGCATAGTGTTCCAGAGCTGAAGTTGAAGCACTGGAGGCATTTGAGCCCGCAGCAGCAGCAGCAGCAGCAGAGAGATGAGCAGTTTCCCGCCGGGGTATCGTTTCTACCCAACCGAAGAAGAATTGATCGGTTTCTATCTTCGGAACAAGCTGGAGCACCGCGGAGAAGACGTGATGGAGCAGGTCGTCCCCGTGGCTCATGTGCACCGCTTCGATCCATGGCAGCTTCCTCGTAAGCACATCGCCCTCCTTCTCCTACTCCGTCGGCTTCTTGTTCATTTGCATATCCATGGCTGATGTATCGTGACCTGCAGCGATATCGGGAGAGCCATGCAGGCGAGACGAGGAACAATGGTTCTTCTTCTGCCCGAGGCAGGAGAGAGAGGCCCACGGAGGGCGACCGACCCGTATCACGGCGTCGGGGTACTGGAAGGCCACCGGTTCTCCCACCCTCGTGTACTCCTCCATGAACCGCGTCATGGGTAAGAAGAGGACCATGGTCTTCTACCGGGGAAGGGCTCCCAATGGAACCAAGACCCAATGGAAGATGAACGAGTATCGAGCACTCGAGGAAAGTGCGGCCTCCACCATTCACTCGAGTGCAGCACAGAAGGTAATCATTACCTCGATAATGGTGTTATTCTACGAGCATGCAGCCTATCCACTTCAACCTTCTTCTTCTTCTTCTTCTTCTTCTTCTGCAGTTTCGCAGCGAGTTCACCTTGTGCCGTATACACACCAAGTCAGGCTCCAGCAGATCATTCGATCGACGTCCTTCTGAAGCCGTCGCAGCGGCTAATACAGACGCACAGAAACCGGTTTCAGCAAAGAGGTCTTTATCTCACGATAGCACTTCCTCCGACGGCAATGGCTCCCAGCGGGCCCTGCGACGACGAGGAGAGGATGATGCGAGGCTGGACAACGACAACTCCGAGCTGTTGCAAGACTGGTTCTGATGGCACACAACTACGAGCTGTTCAAGAACTATTAGCTCGTTGAAGAAAAACAAAAAAATCAAAAAGAGAAATGTATTATAGATTAACTATCAAAAAATTAATATAATATTAATATATTTAGACAAAATTTTATAAAAAAATATATCGAAAAATCGATGTAAGATTAACGTGGCTTGACAAATCTTTTCTGCATTAATGGAGACAACTATATTTTTCAATATATAGGATCAATTATAAGATCCTTGCGTTATCTCTGCTACAATTTTCCTTGTTTATCTCTCACATAAACCTAAAAAATATCCTCTTTAAAATCCCTATAGATTGTCTTTAGGAGCATACAAAATGCTTATCTCACTCTCATCAAAATAATCTTCATTCGCTAAGGAATTTTAATTTAATTAGGACTCTACCAACTATTTTAAATCTAATTAGGACTCCTAAAAATACTTATGGACAATAATAATCTTGACCTCGATGAGTATTTTTTTCACTTTGTACCTTTTGTAGAAATTAAATCATTAGCTTGAAGAATTCACCATAACTACACAAATTCAATCAATTCATAGTCCATCATGTGATTCTAATAAGTTTGCCAATGTATCCTATGTAATTAGAATCGAATCAGTGACAGCACTTTATTTATTCTAAAGAGAGACATTCATATCATCGTCATACCACAAGAAGAATTTTTCTTTCACAATCATCTACATCCTTGAAACCATAAATATCACCAATTATTTTCTACATCGCAAATGAAACTCGTTGTGATAGATACTTATCATCCCCAATGTACAATTTATTTTTAACCCTTTGAAGTATTTATTATATTTTCTTCTAAACGATACAACCTTTGATGTAATCTTCTTTTCATTAGGACCATGCAACCCTGAGTAACTTTTAGAATTTCACTTCTAGCCTTATAGCCATAACCTTAAGTTATATCCTCTAAAGTATGCATTGCTCTATCAACTATTTTATTCTTCACTTTATTAACACCCATGACCACCACTATCGTGTTATCACTCAAATATAATTTACTAATCATCTTGTGAATCAAAATAATTCTTTTAAGAATAAACATAAGAAATATAAGTAAGATCTAAAAACTAACTTTTCTAAAAAGATAAAAGAGTACTCGTCAGTCTCTTTTTCTTTATTTTTTTTTCCCTGAAGAGTTTCACTTGTAAGTTCATACTCTTTACAATGCTGAACATCATCTAAAGATGTGACTCTAGATCTCGACCTTTCATATTAAGATCTACCCCTATCAAAAGAGTGATAGAGTGAAATTATCCTTTATCATAGAGTGAAATTATTTCTTTCATCAAATTTTTTCATAGTAAAGCCGGTAAATACAACTGATGAAATCTTTATTAAATCCCTAATCATTAATTTTTTTTAGCTATGATGCCACTTTGTTGGGTGGAAGAGAAAGAAACCAAAAATCAAAACCAAAAGAGTGATTCACCATAGATTAATAATCAAAAGAACATATCAAAAAATCGATTAATATGGTTTGATAAAATTAAATTATTCAATATATAAGATTAATTATAAGATTATTGAGTTATCTCGATTTTTCTTTTTCACCTTTCACATAAATCTCAAGAATTCTTTCAACTATATCTACAAATTTCATATATCGTCCTTACAAGCATTCAAAATGTTTTATCTTTTCTTTAATTAAAACTTTGATATATTTATAGGAGTCAAGTTTTAAGAATCAATATATATTCATGGAAACCAATTTTAAGGTGAGAAAGACCGAAAGATCGAGAGTCTACCAAAGGGAGAAGAACCAAATATTGGACTTTGACTATTGTTTTCTGATTGACTAACCATGGAAACTTGTAACATCACGTTGTTGTCAACACAGCTCAAGTGCAGCTGCCATTGTTTGTTTTGTTTTGCATTGTCTCTGTTTTGTTACCGTGTCATACTATTTGAGAAAGTGAATGACACTTTAATGGCCCTGCGGATGACACCCTGTCAGGATTGATAAGTAACTTGGAGTCCTAAGTAGACTTTGAAAATAGTCTAAATTAAATTATTTTTTTATTATTTAAAAATATAATTTATATTAAGGATTTAAGTAAAAATAATAATATTAAGAAATTTAATATTTATTCTATAAAGTTTTTTTAGTAGATCTAGAAAAAACAAAAAAAATACTTTTTTAAATTTATATGAGAAGGTGTAGCTTAGGCATGAGTTAACTTATATGATAATGATTTCTTATATTAGATTTTCTCGTAGAATAAAATTTTTAATTTTCTTCGTGGATAATATAGATGAAAGTCATCGAATTATGTAAGATCTTACGTCTCTTTTTTTGATGTATTATTTATTTATTAATTTTTGAACCATCTCTTAGTCCTAAAGTGTCCTAATGGATCTATATTAAAATTATATATTTTCGTAATATTTCGATCGGTCTCTCGTTAGAAGTGAGCAAGACTAAGATTGAATTATAAGTGTTCGATAAATGTACAACTATCAATTTCAACTTAAATATTTTGGTTAATAGTTTGGGTCAAACGAAGTTGATAGGTCAATTAAGCCCATCAGACCTGAATCATGATAATTTGATAGAGTTAGGAGACTCGTCACGATGTAGAGCTACTGGGCTACACCTCACATGCACTATGCTAAGATTTGATATGGGATATGTTGAGCCTTGACGAGGACGATCAGCATTGAGAGAAAAAAATTATAACACCCCAATTAGTCACACATTGGAAGTGAATTAAACTAAGATCGATATATAAGTATTTAATAAATTTATTATTATTAACTTTAGTCTAAGTATTTTTATTATTGGTTTGAGCTAAATGAAGTCGATAAGATAATTAACCCATCGGTCGTGATATTTTTCTAGGTCATACTACACGGCTTGAGTCGATCCCAAAGGCCAAAACTTGTCCTAGGGGCCCACAAGGGTCACAAGGAGTTGCTTATTTGTTAGAGGCGGATTTGATGTCATCTTGAGGTGTGCTTTAGTTTCATTGTGGTCCATGCACAAGCGGTCGATGTTAGGAGGATGTTCTCGATTTGATCCCTCCTATGGCAAAATTAGTTGGGAGATAAAAAATGATAGAGATGCCTTCCTCTTAGGCTTTGAGGGTTAACTTTTATACCTAAATGGTAAACGAAGTGAGATTGACTACTAGTTAGAGTGCCCCTTACATCCTCCAAGAGCTCATTTATGTCAACGATTAGCAAGCACATCTCTCTATGGGTGGCATTAGGGAAGAACGACTATAAGGGAGCCATTTGTTAAAGTTGGAGTCTATTTGGGGTGAAGGGATGATCCCTTACACTAGACGTTTGAAAAGAGAGAAAATGGAACTAAGCCATGCCGCCTAGTATTAATATCCTCTACCGCTGAGAGCATAGGCTTTCTCGAAATCATGATTGATAGGAGGTGACAAGTCACTTACGATAAGTAACCCGAAAAGGGGAGAAGGAGGGATAGACCTTGTTGTTGGGGATCAATGCACCCTATGACTAACTCGTGTGGCCCTATCGAAGATCGAGGTGGGTAGGGTGAGTGGATCGTGCTCTTGTTAACACCCACTGGGGGCGTGAATTCTTCCACCCATGTAATATATGAAGGGATGAGTTGGTAGTATAATACTTATGTTATTATTTTCCCTATCAAATGAAAAAAAAATATCAAAGCTGGATGACATATAGTAGGATATAGACACATTTGCTATATATATATATATATATATATTTTATCCCAACAGTGACATGAACTGTGATGTAACATTATATTTAATTAAATTAAATTGGTGGGCTCTATGTGGAGAGAAAAGTCAAACGAATGAATGTAGATTGGGACGAGATGAGAGTTCAGATCCAAAATATGTAGCACGCGAATCAAATTCAATGATTCTTAATGCTAATTACTCAAGTAACAATCTTATCATGTGAGATATAATTCCCTGGTAAATGCATGTAGCTAAAAATCAGCTTGTGGCACCGCGTGCTAATAAAAATGAAATAAAAGAATTGAGATGGCACCCTTTTTCCGCCCTAATATTGTGCATTGGTGAAGCCATAACACACGTCACATGATATAAGCTCATGTTTCAACCCTGCAATTGCAGTGACTGAGACGACCTCATCAGTGCTGCGCGCTGGGAAGTAAGAACAGGCTCTCTCGATTCATTGACTTTGCTTGCGCAGCTTGATGGAACTGTGAATCGAAAGCTTTCGCCATCCATCACCGAGGCCAAAGAGTACATCTTTTGTACGCCTCATGACTCCCGTGAACACAGCTGAGGAGCCGCCTCTCAGCCGAGCAGCCTTGAGAGGTTGCTCTCATGAACTCATTCATTGGGACTTCAGGCGGGCGCAAAGCCATCGAAAAGTCAAATGGCGTTGAATATTGCTGGCGTTTGATAGATGCCTTGCTGCTTCATGATCTGTCCATCCCTGTCACATCAACACCACTTTTAAGTTCTTAGCTTGAGCTTCAAGTAAACTGATTCACACAAGCAAGAGATGATTCCATAGCTCATCATCTGATCCTTATGCATGTTGACCTACGAATAGGAGAAGTAGTGAAGAGTCATGTGGCCTGGGAGTTCTAACAACGTCAGATATGAACACTTGTTTCAGCATCTGTCTTACTCTACCGCCCAACATCCATCATCAACATGATGCAGTCCGCGTGCATGACTACTTAGTCTCTAATATATTTAGGTTTATTTTCGCGTGTCGAGTTTAATTCAGCTCGCACGGACCTCTTCCCGACAGCTTAAGCTTTGTGTCGGCTATATAGGACAATTCCATCTAATTAATCTCATGCCCAATAGCACAGACAACTTACACAGCTCAATCAGTTCTCTGTTGTATTGATGGAAACGATGTGTTCTGTGCCTCAGTTTTATAGCTTCTTTAAACAAAAGAAGAAAAAGGATCATTCAAGGGGAGAAGGGGTTGAAGCCATTAACTTGATTTTGACTCGTGCGTTGACTTGCGCTCTTGCTACGTCGCCGAGATAGGTCAGGGAAGTGTCAGTGGAGACTCACCACATCTCTGTTCCTGCGCTATCATACAGAGTTATCCTAAACAAGAGATAGGCATCTGAATGCTGCATAGTCGTCGAAGTCCGAGCTCTATACGTTAGCAGAAGCTACAGCTTCATCCAAGCGAGAAGAGAGGTCGGGTTAGGGCTCTTCCCGGCGCGACCACATTGAATACACGCGGTTCCTCACGTTGACTTTTGTAGGTGCGCCCTCCGAGTTAATGCATCTCTTCTTCTGACACGCTTCATGCAGCCGAAAGCTTTGGTTTGCGAGGGTCAGCGGGTCTGTTGTGTATATATATATACCCGTGGGAAGCTCGGGAAAGATAGACTTGGACGCTGGTCTTTGCTTTCTGAGATCGGAGAAAACTGGACCTTCTCTCTGTGATCTTGTTCTCTCTCGCTTTGTGTCAGAGATGGGAAGACCACCGTGCTGCGACAAAGATGGCGTGAAGAAAGGACCTTGGACACCAGAGGAGGACATAGTATTGGTGTCCTACATCCAAGAACATGGTCCAGGGAACTGGAGAGCTGTTCCTACCAACACTGGTGAGCCTTCTTGTCCTTTTGGTGGCTGTCTACCTAAAAGATCGATCCATGGCAGGTTTACTCATATCAGTCTCTTTAATTTCCTTGGCAGGCTTAATGAGATGCAGCAAGAGCTGCAGGCTCAGGTGGACAAACTACCTTCGGCCGGGAATCAAGCGTGGCAACTTCACTGATCAGGAGGAGAAGCTTATAATCCACCTCCAAGCTCTTCTAGGCAACAGGTAAAGCCCAAAAGATCTCTGTTGTGTCCTTTGAAGCCTGAACGTAACCATAAACCGGCGTTATCTGAACGCAGATGGGCAGCTATCGCTTCTTATCTACCAGCGAGGACGGACAACGACATCAAGAATTACTGGAACACGCATCTGAAGAAGAAGCTCGAAGGCGGCGCCGATTGCCAGAAGAGCAGCGGCAGGCAACAAAGCTACCGCTCCATCTCCAAAGGCCAGTGGGAACGGTGTCTCCAGACCGACATCCACGTGGCGAAGCGAGCTCTGTGCGAGGCTTTGTCCATAGAGGAGTGTGATGGACGCAGCTCCATCACCAGGCCTTCGGTCTACGCGTCGAGCACCGAGAACATATCTCGGCTTCTCGAAGGATGGGGCATCGCTCCGGCGAGTTCAGCGTCCAGCCAGGGAAGCGCGAGCACTTCCCGCTGCATCACGTCGTCGCTGGAGCCGCTCGAGTCGCTGTTCGGACTCGGAGATTCAGCGCGGGAGTCGTCGTCCGAGCCACCCTTCTCGTTGCTGGAGTCATGGCTGCTTGACGTCGAGAGCGTCGGAAACGGGCAAGAGAGCTTTCTCGACGTAGCAATCGATGGCACAGGCGAAATGTTCTGAGAGGGCGAGCTTTTACTACCTCGATCTTCTTCGATAGACCTTCTGCTGATGACACTAATTCTTCTGATGTTTTGATCGGAGACAGAGTTTGTTTGGTAGCCAAAGGTGTAAATTTGCTTTGCTCTGTGCAGCAAATCTCCAATGTTTGTCTCTCCTAAGTTTCAGGAAATAAACACTATTGATTGTCCTAATTTTCTTTTGACAGATTAGAGATTAACATAAATCACAACTGCTGTTTCATCTTGATAGGAGATGTGGATGCAGTTTTTTTCTTCGTGTTCAGAAGCTGAGACAATGTCCATGTCCATACTTTGAGGTGATAATTAGCACCGTGCATGATCAATGTCCATACGTTGAGGTGATCACCTCTGTTGGAGATCTCATTGTCAGAGTGTGGAGTGGGGTGTCCCAAACTAAGACCAAATTGGATTGTCTAACTGGGTTTGATGATGACTCTTCAGCAACTGATGAGTTGTCCCATACATAGATTAATTGCACTTCTAGAAGAGCAACAAGTAATTATACTCCCCTCGAATAACCCTTTCTTAATCAGCAAGACATATACATATTAGGAAAAAAATAGTCCAAAGAATATTCCATAAAAAATACAAATTCAGAAAAATAATTGATATAGTTTGATGGAGAAAAACTCATGCGAGAATAGATTACAAGTTTCCTTTAGTCAATCTAAAACTCAAGCCTACTGTCTATGGGACACAGTCACGCAAAAACCATGAACACAATATAACTCTAAATCTTGACAATGTAAGAGTGAGATTTTGAAGTAACGAAGAAGTAATTGCTGTGTCTTGAACAACAAAAAGAGAGATAAATCATGGGATTGTGTTTCTGGATGGTGAATCAATCATCCTGTGCGGATTGGTTGCTGCAACTTTACAGCCCTTGGAGAAGATGTTACAACTATTTAGGAGGGAGGAAGACAAAAAGATCTAGGTAAAGATCAGTCTTGGAAATAAGTGGGTCTTAAATGCAACACATGTGAAGTGTCTTGTACTTTTTCTTCCTCCTCTATTCTACGCACAACTGCAGTTGGTTGATCTTTACCAGCCACCCAAATCCAGAACTGTCAAAGCAAAAGCATGGAAGGAACTCTCACGGATGCCATGATACCATGGTGGGCCTTCTTCCTCTGAAGTATCAATAATATCAAGCGACTTGAATGCTTGCTGTACAGAAGCTATCACTCCATTGAATGCAGTGAGATCTTACACCCAACACCACATGTGAGTGGCCTCGCTGTTATGAGCTAAGAGGAAGATAAGGTGGCATATAGCAGACTTCAATTGGGAGGCAATGCATTTAGTGTGCCACGCATGGGATCCATGGGGTGAAGCAGCTGCTCCATTGCCTACTCGCACTGTTATCGGAAAGGAAGCTTCATTGAAAGAGACAGCAACAGGTGCTTCTCTTTATGGCCGTGCATGGTGTTGTTTCCATCATGAATGACTGAGGGCTTTTAAGCTGCATGCAATCTTCACCCCTTCAATGCATGTCTGAACTCTCGACGCCATTGTTACTGCTGCTGCTGCTGTAAAGCATTATTATGCACGTCAGATCTAAAGGCCCACGAGTTGTAGCTCATAGAGCCCATTAGAAATGGGACCCACAGGCGAACCACGAATCATACCGTGGAGATTTGGTCAATAGCCCGGGTGACCGACGTACCCTTCACGCTGCGTACAATACACGAGTCGATGTAGTCTACTGGGTTGACGCTGAGGCACAGCCTAAATTGATCGAGTCAAACAAGAGACGTGACTCCATATTCCTGAAAGGTCAATGGTCAAACAGTCGGTAGATGTGGCAGATTACTGATATCACCGACGTTTTCTGCCTTTCTCTTAAATATTTGACCATTTTTTATTTACAATCTCGTTTTAATATTTTTTTAGTATTTTTAAAATTTTATTATTCATAATTTTCTTTTTACTATCGATAATTCTCTTAATATTAATATTTTTAAATAATAATAAAAAAAATATTTTATTTTATTATTTATAATCTCGAAATTATCGATTTTATTTTTTTTTCTTTTTTTCCCATAACATCTTATTTCATCCTCAAAATTATATTTTATTATTATTTTATATAATTATATTAAGTAAATGTCTGGCAATATCAATCTCCTTCTCTAATCTTCACCGTAAAGTCGAGGGGTATGAGATCTAAGTCGAGATCAATATGCTGAAACTATGACGAATTGTGCCAGCCAGTTGACTATCGAGCTCATGCAATTATGATCCCAAGGGTCAACGGTCCTAATGTTTGAGGCATTGGGTCACTAAACGTGAGCAGCTTGACTTCGTCCGTTCATGAATTCTTGCGTTCATGCAGCGTCCAAGCCACGCAAAAGCAGTCAAACCTCTGTGCCTGTCATCTGCCGGCTTTGGAGACTATCTGAAGTCAATTCCCCCTATAAGAAGGAAACCAATCCTTGCTCATGGCACAACATTAACTCATTCAGTTTCTCATGGCTTTCGCTGCATCGGATGAGTTGTTGGGCACGTTCGTCCCCGTTGCAGTCTACTGGGTGTACTCCGGCATCTACGTCTTGCTCGGCGATCTCGAGAACTACAGATTGCACACCAAAGCCGAAGAGAACGCGAAGAACATCGTCTCCAAATGGACAGTCGTCAAAGGCGTCCTCCTTCAGCAGGCTTTCCAGATCGCCGTTTCCCTTCTCCTGTTCACCGTAATCACTATTCTCCTCACCGTTCTCATCTCCCATCGTTGTACGCACCGCATGGACAGAACTGACCGATCTCGTTGTGTGCAGGTCATCAAGGACGAAAGCGGAGCAGCAAGGCCTCAACCCTCAGTGCCGGTGATCATCGCCCAGTTCATCGTCGCCATGTTTGTGCTGGACACATGGCAGTACTTCATGCACAGGTACATGCACGTCAACAAGTTCCTGTACAAGCACGTCCACTCCAAACACCACACCCTCGTCGTCCCCTACGCCTTCGGCGCGCTGTACAACCATCCGCTGGAGGGGCTACTGCTCGACACCATCGGCGGAGCGCTCGCCTTCCTCGTCTCCGGCATGACGCCGCGGACCGGCATCTTCTTCTTCTCCTTCGCCACCGTGAAGACCGTCGACGACCACTGCGGGCTGTGGTTGCCGGGGAACCTGCTCCACGTGTTCTTCAGCAACAACAGCGCCTACCATGACGTCCACCATCAGCTCTACGGCAGCAAGTACAACTTCTCGCAGCCCTTCTTCGTGATGTGGGACAAGATTCTGGGGACCTACATGCCCTACTCGCTCGAGAGGAGGAAGGAGGGAGGTTTCGAAGCCCGGCCAATCAAACTCAAGAGCTGATGAATCATCGATGCCTTCCTTGGATTTCCAACTAAAACATTTGTTTTGTATTCTACTTATATATTGCAGCGATTGCTGATAAATAAGAAACGTCTTTTCTTGTAATAACATTTATACATTGTGGAAACCCAACATAAACTATTTAGGATGATTTCTCTAGAAAATACCTTTATTTTTGATATTCCAACGAAGAAGGGGAGTACTCTCAACTGTATCCCTATGAATGAGGGTCGGTGTTTCCGTGCATCGTACAATGGGACTGAGCCATCAAAAGGCCATCGGTAAATCGAACGGCCTAGATCGAGGGAAGGGTGGGATCCGCCATCCCAGTAAACGTACGTACGTACGTACGTGCATGGAAAAGCTTGCCAATTTTCCACGACGTGCGTGGCCGCCATGTTTGCACTTTCCGAGCATCAGGTGCTGTCTCTGATACTGCTACGTATACTGCTCTGAACTGTACCTGCGCGTTCTAAGATGGTCCAGTCACTGAGCCTTTCTCCTCCGCTGCACGCGCACGGGGCACCCATTCCAAGGACCTTACCACTGTACCTTGTGGATATAACACAGCAAATACATGTCGGAACGTAGAACAAAACACACTCAAGGACACCTTTTTTTTTTTTTTTTTTTTTGATATTTTACTGATAAGATAACTAAATCAGATACCTATTTGCATCATATCGATCGCTGCAATCGATCTAATTTTTAATATTTTTAGTAGAATTATAATGTTCTTGACACCCTACCGAATCGATTTAATTATAATATTTTTACACCGAGGAGGATTCAAGAATGATTAATGTGTATAGTACGAAGAGATTATTTCGGTGATTTAAATCACGATATACTACAATCTTATTAACACTCATGAAATTAGAAAAAAAAAAAAAGTTAATATCCTCACTTGTGTCAATTATATTCACATTTATATTCCTGGGATTTGTACTGTTTTGCTACACTAAACTCAGATGGGACATCCTTTGTCTCCACAAAGTTCCAAAGTTACCAGTGAAAAAAGGTTACTGCATTCATCCATGCAACTCATTCATACCTTGATCTTTGTCATAGATCTTCCAATTTAAGCTTTAACTGCAAAATTAGAAGCAACAGAAGGACAATACAGCATTTGGTATTGCAAACACTTCAAGAGAACATCAAGTAAAAGAATAGATGAGGTTAGGAAAAGATTAGCATTTAGAAGAATGCAAAATGACATTTGGAAATGGAAATTGTCAACAGAGAGAATCTTGCAGAGGAAGTGTGCATTCTAAACATATTAAGAAGTCAATGTCAATCCAAATTGGAATCAAGTAAAATAAACACAAGCAACAGCAAATGTATAATTAGATTATGTATGTGACACATGCATGCTCACCAAGAGCTTTCTTTTGCCTGTGGGTAGAGTAAATTACAAGCTTCAGATACTATCTCATGCAGAAATTTATCCTTGTGATTTGCACAACAGGAATATGGATTTGCATAGGTCAGCTAATTATTAGCTAAGACAGCTACGTAGAAGTATAATTCATGAGATGCCAACCACATCAAATTTATCTGCAAAGTTTCGTGTTTCTTAAATCCTTAAGCAAACATGACTGCTAATTACTGTGCCTACATTCCACAGTGCTATTCCATTTACATGCTTCTCCATTTCTATTATGGAATTTCAATCTAACAAAATCACACAAATCTACAACTTCATAAATCTAAGATAAGATGAAAAACTCAGGTGCAGACAAATTACAGGATCAAAGATGTTAAAGAGTTATGACAAGTTTACCAAAAGATAGAATATAAAGTTCAAAATCACTGGGATTATGAACACTGCAGATAATTATCAAACAAAAGCAAATTTTGCAAAAAAAACATCGTAAACCATTTTTAGATAAATATAATCACAGATAAATAAACCTACAGAAAAGTGAGTACTTCCATGACCAAGAATGTTTAGGGCAGACTTTAGAAGTTGTTTCTTGAGATAACAAATTTCATCTGTTTATGGGTTCAAGCAGAGCCCATATGTACAAATGGAATGTCAGTTAATGGCTGATGTCAAACAAATGATGATAAAGTTGCAAAGGGTTAAAAAAATTAGCTCAGTGATAAAAATAGGAACTCAAATTGATGCTACAGACACATTGGGTCATGGGAAAGGGTTGGCAAGAGAAAAGGAAGAAGCATCTTCAAAAGTGGAAAACCTGTAAAAAGGAGATGCAAGTATGTGCTTTTGGAATCTGACAAGCAGTCATCCATGGTGAAATTGTTTGTCGCTTCTGTGAACCATGCGAAGATACACATGTATCATGCATGAAGTAGTAGTCAGAAGAGAGATATGGAGAAAAAAAAACAAAGATTAAATTATCATATCAAAAAATTCTATTAATTATATAAAGATATACAAGGAAACAATGCTACAAATATGTCGGTTCGTTATTTCAGACAATCGCCAAGATTAATAAGCTCCGGGGCTCTAGTGGCACTACATATCCTAAGATTGCATCAATACACATGAAGAGGTAATGTAATAATATATTTGACATACTTAATTTAGTTTCTAAAACAAGACAGGAAAACAGATTCGAGTGTGACTATCTCAAAGACAAAATGCAGTTACTAATATGTTAGATTCTGCAGTTTCAAAGAACCAACTCAGTTGCCAAATTATGTCTAGTCTGTAATTTGATCACTTTTTCGATCACCGTAACTCATTTGTGGCACGTCAAACTTGACACCATTTTTTTTTTTTTTTCAAATTTCAGAACAGAAACAAATCAAAGATCAGAGGCTTGATTGCTGATTTTGACCCATCAGTGCATCTATTTGATAAAAATGGGAGATTAACAACATATGTGACTTTCTAGCACTAGATTAGAACAGAGGTTTTACAAGTTCCAATGGATCATGGTGATGCATCTATTTGATAAAAATGGGAGATTAACAACATATGTGACTTTCTAGCACTAGATTAGAACAGAGGTTTTTCAAGTTCCAATGGATCATGGTGATGCAGTAATGGTCAATCACAATGAAAGAATAGTGGCATCAGCATTCTGTTTATACAAAAGTTATTGTTCAATGCAAAGAAGATAGAAACAGTTTGCTAGCCATAAAATACCAAAGACCATAAGAATTCTGTTATTTTCCTCAAGCCAAAAGCTATCACTTGGAACCATTTAACTACACTATATAAAATAAAAAAAGAACCCCATCTCATATCAAAAGAAATCTAAAAAAATAACAGCATCAAATTATTAGTCTGACATTCTCCTGCATGATCCTATATCTTAAAATGACTAAAATGGTTTCAAAATTAAAACAAATGGAAGGAGTAATGACTGAATATAAAAATGACAAAATCAGGGATTACATTGATGACAGAACTCTGTTGAACTATCATTTCAGTTGAAATTTCAGAAAAGGGAAGAAACAACTGCAGAATTAGCATTTTATGCTACATACTCTTACAAGCCAGTGCCATGCATTCTTCTTGCAAGAAGTACAGTATGGTCACCATGAATTAGAGAAATCAGCAGCCCATCACGGCACAGTTATAAACAAAGCTACCCGAATGCTTGCTAGCAATCATGTCCCACTCAGGTGGCCCTCCATTTGGAACCCAAGAATTTAGCTCGATCATTCCTCCATGACATCCTCGCTGGCCACCAATTACTATTAGCTGCTCACCACATGCTCGGAATGCAAGACCCCAACCATTCATCGAGACAGATCTCTCAGGCAACTTTCCCAATGTTACCCATGTGTTATTCTCCTTGTTGTACTTCAACACCACCTTATTGGCATAATGAGCTGCATAAAGCTCATTGTTCACGACGGCAACGAGTGGAGGTGCACCACTCGCACCATTGAGACCAGCGGACATGTCTGGAATTAACCGCCATGAGCATCGCTTCAGATCATACTCCTCCCCACATGTCAACACCTTGTTATCACTATCTATTCCGCCAATTACATAAAACTTTCCATCCATGAATACCCCCGAACACATCTTCCGTGCTCTACTCATATTAGGCAACGTCTCCCAGGTTTGAGTCTCCGAATTGTAGAGTTCTGCGGTGCTCAAAATAGTGCGACCATGGGTGCCACCGGCTACAATAGCTTTCCCATCAAGACTAGCAGATCCAAATAAACATCTAGGTGAATTCATTACAACTCCAGGTGACCAAGAATTCGTCAGAATGCTGTATCTCTGTACGATGTATGAGTTCAACTCCTGGCCAAAAACAAGAAGCTCGGTGCCCACGGCAAGTGACTCCTTATCTGAGAGCATGAAGTTTTCGGTAGGACTACCGGGCATCTTTGGAACCCTAATCCAATGTCCACGGTAGGGATCGTATGCCTCCCATTCGAGGGCGCTGCATGAGAAATAGACCCAATGCTCGGTGACTCCCAGCTGGCGGCGCGCCTGGTAGACCTCTCCGCTCCGAATTAACGAGCGGAAGACATGGTTGACAGATGCAACAGCACCGTAATTGGACCGAGAGAGATGCAGAAGACAGTTAATGATTATATCCCCGGTGAGCCGGTTGAAGTTGTTGGAACCATTAGAATCATCAAGAGGCCGCTTCGTACCTTGGGTATCAGAGGTATTGGATTGCTGCAGTGACTTCTTCCTCTTAGCTCGATTCTCTACTTCTTCTTCTTCTTCTTCTTCTTCTTCTTCCAATTCCTCATCTAGTAGGCGTTTCTTGCTGTCCAAGGACTCGTGGAAATGGCATGCCAAGAAACTCCAATTGGATTCTTGCTCAGAGGTGCTTTCGAACACCCTGGAGATCAAATAAGGGCGGTCTTCCAACATAGCTCCAAATCACGAACCAAACGAGAAACCCTAATATTTCGAACAGGGAACAACTTGAGATCCCTATTTACCCTTACAAGGTATAATCCATACCCGAAACAGGACTAGGACTAAAATTAAACCCCTTCCAACCGGTAAAGAGGCAATTTTTTTTTGTGCTATTCCACCGAAATGAGATCCAGAATCGATGCTTAAAAATCGAATGCATGGATCGGCATAAAACCCACAAGGGTCGGATCTCTGGCTCTCTTCTGCGATGCTAAAGAGCCAAAATCGACGAATTATC